TTGTTCATTGAATTCACTAGCTTGTTAATCACACAAGAGATATAGTCCTTCAGTGGGCTTAACATTCAACAAAACTTGCTAGTTTCTAAGTAAGATGTTTTTTAATGAGCAAAAAACTTTCTTCAGTTCATTCATCAGCCATGTTATAGCAAGTGTGTAGCCCACAATATATTTTTGTATTGCAATTTAATGATAATTAATTTGGCTGTGGTTCATCATTTTATTTTTAAATAATTGACTAATAATCAGTTGCATTAAAGTTACACCATTTGCTACATTCACCTACTTTACATTCAAGTTATAAAACAGCTACACCTATACACTTTGAATAAATACAATTTACTTCTAAGACAAAACATCCAAATGGATTTCATCAAAGATTTTTCAAGTAGTCACTTTGTGAAGTTTTCAATAACTCTTGACTTTAGTATTGCATTTTAGATACATCCGTACTCCTGACCCTCTTCAACTCAACATGAATTCTAGCTGCATGTCCTGTCTCACTGTAATGTGTCTTGTATAATTTTGAACTTTTTATGTCATTTAACTTTTCATTTTATTTTGAGTAGTTTTTCTTACAACATCAATATGTGCTTTGAGCAACCAAATATTTATCACTGTAGTAACTGTAATTTTTGTTGGTTCTAATTTTAACCCACTAGTTGAGAGTTCTCTTTTTTTATTCTAAGCTATAGCCCCTGTTTATTCTAAAATAAGCTAGAGCTAGATAATAGTAACAACATTTAAATTGAATTGTAGGCTAAGTTCAGTTATTTTCATGAAAAAAAAGTGCATTCTATGCATCACTACCATAGTGTTTTACTCCCCATAGTGTAACAAATATTTCTTCAAAAGTGTTTTCAAATTTGATTATCACAAAGTCTGAAGGATTACAAAGGAAAATAGTCTTATAATATTTGTTAGCTCTGCTAATATCTCAAGCACCTTGCTTATTACTACACATTTTTTTCAATCAATAAATCTATGACACATGCCATTTAAAATAAATGTTTTGATTTCTTCATAAAATAGAAAGACCAATTGGGTTGTCTTCCTTTAAGTATATTTATTGCAGATATAATTCTGTTTTGTTGTCTTGTCTAGAGCATCCATTTAACCCTCACCACTGTACACTTTAGTGTTACTTGAATGACATGTCCTTGTGATGCAGCAATCAATGAGTCACCCTAACCTTTGAACTTGAACAAATGTCAAAACGGTGTACAACCAACATTCTGTAGGCCTGCTATAAATTTGTTTTGTGTTGATAATAACATAATAGGTAGACATGTTCTTAATTGTGCACTCTAACAGAGAAAATTTTGACAAAATTGATAATAAAAAGATGCTACATGTAACACCTTTCTCTATGCTGCCTTTTAGTAAGGATTTTATTTAGCACAAATTTAATACTAATTCAGTTATATTTAAAGTTTATGCTTAAATAAGAAATAACAATAGAAAAGACATCAACATTTTAAACAGTTTATTGTAATATGACTTCTTTCAAAATGTTTGTCAAACAAGAAATGTGATTTAGAAAATGTCTTCTTACAGTAATTTATAAATCCTTTGAATAGACCATGAAGACAACTTATTATTCATTACTTGTCAACACTCAGTGCTAATTTTGCTCTTTTAATCTCTATTACAGCAGTTTCGAAATCCACTAACAGAGAATCCAAACACAGAATCTTCACTGTGAATGCTGGGATATCACAGGAAGTTGCGTGGGACATGGAGTAAACTCCCCTGAAGAGGAGAGATTGCCAAGCTTATACTCTGAAATATATGTTACAGTTGACACAAATCTAAACATTGTTCAAAATATAAACTTACAATTTTCATTATATTAAACATTTGAAACACCAGTTATGTACACCTAAATCTAGTTAATCTGAATAAGATGTTGCTATGATCATATATCTGCAAAATGCTATGATGAAGTTCTTTTGCTTCTAAATGTACATTAATAAACAAAGTTTTCTTTGAATTTAATGGGCTGCAGGGCAGGTGGAATAAAGTTTTCCATTTTCTGTAACAGTTGACATGTGGGAAGTTTGGCTGGTTCAGCAATTAAATGCCTTTCAGTTCTAAAATACCAGGGACATTACTCCAGATCTACATTCTGAATAAATAAGTGTCTCTTTACAAAGATTTGAATCTGAAACTTTTACTTTGGCAATCAATGTGTTATCCACTCCTCCCTAATTAGAAAAGTGTACTAGTATCATATTGTACATGTGATGGCCCCTGATATTCTGATACAGACTTTAGAACCTTGTCCAAATTGAAATAAGAGTGTTGTACATCTTGCACTTCAAATAGTTTGACAATTTTTTTCTTATCTTGATATTTCTTATACAGATTCTAGATGACTAGGATCTTGCAAATTTTCTGTGTGACTTTGACTCAGTTTTCATCACTTCTCAAATCCAGTCACAAATCTAATGTTTGTATTACATTCTCTACATCGGACACTTTCTCTTTTTTATAATGTGCTTTGAAAATTGATAGCATAGGAAAATCTCTTGAGATGATCACCACCAGTCATTTGATCTCCAGACATAAGAGCATTAATTCAAGTGGTCCTTGGATTTTTTTTTAGCTGGGACTTTTGTTTAGTTTTCTTGAAAGTAAATAATTAATCTCTCTATTTGAAAAGCAAGAAATCTAAACTTGCTTCTGGAAAACCAACCAACCAATATTTGTTGTTTGTTTTCTTCATTCAACTAGTATGTTGACTCCAAACTAATTTTGCACACCCTTCTGAATGGCAGAGCTAATTGTATGAATGTGAAACCTTACCTACTCATGTACAGAATCTTGTTCTGTTTGTCCTCCACTATGTCAAGTGGTCTATGCCTTTATTTCAAAATGTACATACCAGAGTACATACAATATGTTTATCTTCATACATTCCATACTATCTATGTGATGTGCGTTGTACAGTTGTGTTATGTTTTTATGTTATCTTTTAATGTATATGGCATTGGGAATAAAGGTTATGTGCATTTCAAAAGTATATTGTATAATCATATGTGAGTCTTATTACAACACACTACATAGAAGACATATTTCAATATTCAGTAGACATTTCTATTCACTGCTGTGTTTGAACTTATGGGTATGGATTCATTATTCCAATTTTTATAATAAACCATTAGCATTATAATATAACTATTATAATTATTAACAAATATATATTATGTGTTCATGTATTCTATAGATAGAATATATATTGTTTAGTGTGGAGGTTAACTAGGCACATATAGATATATCTATCTGCTGGAGAGAAAAGCACTGTTATGTAGAACATGATGTTTAAGTTGGCTGGATTATCTTCCCTAGGTTTTAGCTGAGTTTCTGCCCTTGACTTTTTAGTTGATCTACCTCACCTCTTGCTTCCATTTCACTGAGACCTTTAATTTTGTGCTGAGGATGTATGTGTGTTAGGTAACCTAGACATTATTAAAGGAATCCTCACTTCATTAGAATGACCCTATATGTAGTTCTGCCTTGGACATTTCTTATTGTATGTCAGCATGAAGTAGATTCATAGCAAAAAAAAAGAATCAATTATTTTGTGTATTCAATCTTTCTTTTTCAGGCTAACATAATGTATACTTCATCTGTCTTCAGAACTGTCAACTTGAGTGGTATTTGAATTTGTTGTAGGTTGTGATGTTATTTAAGATCTCAGATATTGCAGGACAACTGACGAGTGGGCAAGGCACTGGTTGGGTTTTTAATGGAAGTTTTGTTGGGTTTTTTTTTAATTGGATGCAGAATTATTATTTTATCTAAGAAATTAAAAATGTTCTCATACAATATATGCTTGAATTGTTGCAAGTTAAAACAGGATTAAAATATGCGACAGTTGGATAGAGCAAATGGTTTTAATTTGCAAGACATTTCATTTGTCTTTATTTATGTGACTAGATTATCTTCTTTTTTGAAGTAACGTCTGTAATATATAAGATTGACACCAGAAACGCTTAGGACGTAATTATCTTCTTTTTTTGAGGTAATGTCTGTAATCTATAAGAAAACTAATTTCATTTGTCTTTATGTGAATGTACTTGGAAGATATTTCAAAATGTGTTTTTCTTGTTTCACAAACACTTGACTTCCTAGATTTATTTCTGGCCTGACTTAGAGAAACTTAGGTTTTAAAAAAAGTGTTTCCATGAATCTAACCTACAAATGTATGAATTTGTATGTCTTGGCCTGAAATTGTACATACATTAATAAGAAAGGTGGTGGGAAAGGAGACAACTTGTCTCATGCTACAAATGATATTAAAGGCTCTAGTTCTACTGAACACTCGGCTATGTTCTAATTTGTAAATATATCCTTTTAACACTTTGTTGACAGGTTGCTTACTATAACCTTTGAACCTATTAAGAAAATAACAAAGCAGTTGTTTTTTTTTAAAGTAATTTGCCAATGTATAGTAGTCTATGCAGACACACAAGATTCTGGCAGCTATTCAACAGACTGTTGAAGACTTCTAACTCCAAAACATGGATGTTCTTCCAAAAAGTTTGTAACAACCATCTGTAAACCAAATAGACCTAGTTTATCTCAATTCTTTGTAAGTTTTATTAAGTATCTGTGTTTAGCACAAATGTATTATATATATGTATGTGTGTGAGTGAGTGTGTGTGGTCTCCTTAGCAATAGGTTTTATTTGTTTACTTGTATGACTCAGTGTGGGTCAGACATTATACATTGTGCATACATAGTAGTCCAAATAACACCACTACAGCTTTGTCCCCCTTTCTATAGATTTGTTGAAATGGTATCACATTGAGGCTTTGAGTTGAAAGGTCTGCTCAGACAGTTTACTTGGAATGATATCACATTGAGGCCTTGAGTTGAAAGGTCTGCTCAGACAGTTTACTTGGAATGATATCACATTGAGGCCTTGAGTTGAAAGGTCTGCTCAGACAGTTTACTTGGAATGATATCACATTGAGGCCTTGAGTTGAAAGGTCTGCTCAGACAGTTTACTTGGAATGGGATCTCTTTTTTTGCTGCAAAAATCTATTTGAATATTTTATTTGTTAGCTAAAGGATTTAGAACTTGCAATGTAACTGACATTGTCTCCACCCACCAAACTACAATGTGTTAGACTTATAAAGAATCACAGCTCTTCTCTGCTTGTCTGTCTACCCAATTTGAATTTTCCTTATACCAGTATATTATTGGAATTAAATTTTTATCTAATGTCAAACCTTTTTGTTGTTTTATTGTCACCTGTGTCATTTTTTATTTGTTTAGTAAATATAACTTAAAAAAAACAGTTTAGATTAAAAAAGAATAGGTGCCTATTGAAAATGTCCAGTCAGTAAAACTGGAAATCCCTTGAGTCTCACACAGTTTCTATGTTTAACATGTTTCAGAGGTTCCTGTCCTAGCCCAAACTTCCCACAGGATAGTGGCAGGCAGGGTTTAAACCTGGGATCATTGAGACAGAGTGCAAACAACATGACCAGCCATCCAGATGTTTTGTTTTGTTCTGTTTTTCATTTTAAAAGCTGTATAGCCTATTCAGTAATGTATTACAAAAAAATGTGTAGGCTTCAACCCTTAAGGAATTTAAAAGTTAATTGGTAAACCTTATGATTGTGAAGCATCAATATGTTAGACAATGTTGCAATCAATATGTTGTACTTTCGTGAGGCATGAAAAAGTGAATAATCACGAACATGTTCTTGGACCATCAACAGGTTGCACTGCCACGCTTCATCCATATATTGCAGCATCATGCTACCATGACACCTGGATGTTGTAAGCTTGTACTAATGTACACTTTACACAAAAGGACAAAGACATGTTGAAACACAAAGGTTAGGTAGATACTTGACTATATCTCTTACGTAGTACGCATTGTACTACATTTTAGAATTAAAAGAAGGCCACTTTGTGTGGTTTAGTATATAGGTTACAGTGGGAAGATAGGCTAGCATTTCTCCTATACAAATGTAATAGTTCTGATTATTTCGCTGAACTTTGAATTAGATTTAAAGAAAAAAAATTCTCTTTTATTAATGGTACCTTGAGCTTTCTAACACATTTAGCATGGACCATCTTATGTTGTATTTGTTTTTTATTGAACGTTAGCACATCAACTAAGAGGAGGTAAATCTATACTTAATGTGTAGTTTTCAGAGAAAAATAAATTTTATTGATTATTTCCCTTCTCGTATGCATTCCATTGTTACAGTTATAAGAACAAAATCGATCATGTGACGTCTTCGGTTCCTCCAATATTAGAAATAATGACGTATATTCGAATTATTTTAAGACCTGACGTCTATGGACACCATAGCCAAGATCCTCAAGTAGTCTATGTGTTTTGTATAACTGTATAATCATATAATCATCACAGTTTGTCCCAAGAGATTAAACTCTTGTTCCAAGATATTGAACTTCAATGTGAACCTGGTGTTCAATTGTTTGTTCGTGAATAAGTCTAGGTTTAGTAGTTTATGATAGAAACAATAGCAATCTCCATCATATAATCAAGGGATTAAACATTGTTTAAACATTAATCAAAGCAGGGTTGGCGAGTGGGGCCACCGCACCAGTGCCTTCGCCTTGCGGGGGGGGGGGGGCGATAAGGAGACTGTTGTCACCGTGAGCCCATCGTGCATCTGATGACACTCGCCCACGGCACTGCGCTCTGCTAAGGCCGCCTTTGATCAGGGTATGTGTGTGCTCCCGATTCGCAAAGCTATCAAATGTGGTTGACCAATTAGTATTATAACTAATGGGAAATGTGTAATAGTAAGTAGATTGAAGATCTCTAAATACAAGTTTCATTGAAACAACATGAGAACCTCTGCAGGAGTTCTGTCACCTTTGTGTCATATAATAGGAGGGGGGGGGGGGGTTCGTTCGAAACCAGTGATGTCTACACGACTCAACAGATTTTCATGTTGCGACTCGCACCTCTCTCTCACTTTTTTCTCCACTCTCTGTCTGTGTATCGCCACTGCGCCACACACAAAAAATGTGTGTGTGTGTGCAGTTTAGAAGTTCTATCAAGGGTTACAACTTTTAGTCCCACAGACCCTCGTTCACCTTTCTGTCAGAAGAAAAAACTACGTCTAGCCCGCTTTTCTCTTTTTCTCTCCTGCGCTATAATAGATAACTTTACCCCAACAGAGCCTCAGAACAAGAGTTTATTAGCAGACGAGAAAATCTGTCCTGGTCAGTGAAACGAAAACACAACAAATTCGAAAGACATTGAAATGTTTAAGTCAAGAGTCTTGTTTTAATACCAACGTGATTTTGTTTAATAGTGAGAAACATAAACAATTTGTAACTTTGTTATTTTATTACGTCAGATAAAGTCATTGTGAGCTAGACTCTTGTCATTGATAAATCTAACATTTTTTAACTCAATGTAGAGTCTAATTAGATCTATTCGATTCGGAATCTATTTGAATCTAGATATTTTTCGAATTTTATATCGACCTATATTATCTAAATAGATCGAGTTCTCGATCTGGGTTAGCCAGAGCTAGTATCTCGGTTTCATATGATCTAGATCTATATAGATTTAGATCTAGGTCAAGACTAGATCAGTCAACAAGACATTCAATAGCCCTATTATTTATCGCATGTTTCAGTGAAAATATATAGATCTTTTATTTTAAATAAATAAAATAAATCATTTTGGACTTGAAGACGTTTTGGATGTAAACTAAGATCTAAATATAGATCTACAGTTCTATTCATATTGTGCTGTGAAAGGATACATATTATAATTATTTCGTACTTTGGATTAAAAATATTTTAGTTTCATCTTTGGATTATAAACTGTACGTACTTGTCACCTGGACTCTAACTTAGCAGGTAGATCTAGATCTAGATTTTAAATATTTTGTCTCTTCTCCCCTTTTATTTAGATCTAACTCAGCATACATCTAAATCAATTAATCTAGACCCTAGGCATAGATGATCTAGTTATACCTACATCATATACATTTCGAGTTAGATTTAGATATACATGTACACTCTAGTACCGATGTAGATCTAGATTCTATATAGAGTCTAGATATCTAGATCTTCATTCAATGTGTTGCATAAGTCAGGATTGGGCGTATATTTAATAGAATTATTCCAATTAACTTAAGCATTTAATAAAATAAGCTTAATATATATATATATATATATATATATATTTGTAACTATATCTAGACTCTATATACATAAAGTCGAGATAAAGATTCTATAGTTTTGAATATGGGCCTATATTAGTATATAGACTTTAGGTATAAGATATAAAGACTTTAAGTATTGAATTATGAAACATCTAGCTTTAGGCCTAATTTGGGCAAGCCTTAGAATGTCTAAGATTTAGATCTATCACTATGGTTGTATGGAATGTGATGGGGGTAGATCTATGAAAATGGTTTAGACTAAAAGTCAAGAAAAAAAACAACATTTGGCATAGAACACACACATTGTCTGCAGGTTATATAAGGGGCTCATTGGTATGTTTTGACAATACAAATAGATCTAAATCTTTAGGTTTATGTATACTAAAGGCAATGTAACTCGACAATGACTGTAAGAGATACATTTAGCAATATAGGTGCGTCCAAAATACCTGTTGTCATCAAGATCAGTTTTAACTTGTCAAGTTTCAGATTTTCATTCAGAAGTGATCAGTATTACATCCTAGACAAAACCTCATAGATCTATGCACTGGACGGCGGGTGGGTAGCGTACGGAACCGTGACCACTGTGACGATTCCCGAGAGCATATCGGGCAGCCATCCGACCTAGTCTTATTGATCTTTGTCAATCACTTTTCAGGCCGGCGTGTCAGATCAGACTTATTTAATGTTTGGTGACACAGAGATGCATCTAGAAAACTGTAAATGTAACTTCACTTGGAATAATGATTCGTAAGGGGAATCTCTGAATAGGCCCTACATGTCACCCAAAGTTTCATTTGATTTAGATCTCGAGATATGCGTAGAAGAAACCAGTTATAGGCCGATAAATAAAATTGATATAATTAACATTAATTTTATTTTGTACAACTTGGATGTCGATGGCTACTGTCACGAGTCGAGTCTGTGACCTATTTCGACCAGTTTCTAGAAGCTCGAGTTCAAACCAATGCAAGTGTCCAGCGTAAACAAGTTAATTTTAGGTATCCAATCAAAGAAAGGGGTTAAGGAAATAAATAGCACACGTCAGCTTCTAAAAGGTCAAAGTTACTAAAATAATTATCTGAGAAGGTTCCATGATTCTGGAACGTACGATCAAAGAAAGTATAAATTAAGGGAAAGTGAGTTAGACGGGGTCCTCGCATAGTAGTAGTTCTTGTAGAGCGTTGGTCCTCGCTCAGTAATAAGTTTTATGATATTAGCGGGTCCATTACAGTTGTAGTAGTTCACGTTATACTAAGTGAAGTTTCATGTATCATTTAAGTTTTATTTATGAAGTATCAAGTCAATATGTTATTGAATTAAGAAGTTAATTTGATGTGAAAGTTGAAGAAGTTATTAAAGAAGTTTGAAGAAAATACAGAGAGATGTTTCTTTCTTCATTTCATTGAATTGTCAAGTTTGATAATATAGTCCCCGGCGAGTGTGTTCGTCACACTACCCAACCTTTGCATAGTATGCGGTAAACAAGCCTGATTCTACCTTGATTTTTTTTTCAAGGGAAAGTAGATCTACATTTTGTTATCTCCCTTTGATCTTTTAGTCACAAACATACAGGATAGTTAGTTGTATTTTGTCATATTTTTTAATCAGATAAAAAAAATTCAGTCTATCCTTAGAGTGAACAAAATAACTGTCAAATTATGACATATTTTTAGGCAGTGTGCCTAATGGTGCAGTGTGACACACATTTCATGGCATAGAAGTGACAAGCTGTGGCATGTAGTAACACAAACGTCATTTGCATACAAGTAACAGTTCTGACCTACTTTCGTAACTTACACGTGGAGTCATTTAGGTCTCAATGTATCCACAAGGTAAACGGGTGTTTGTAATTGAAGTGTTCGAGTCTGAGGTTTATTTATTCTTGACTGAAGGCTTGTTCATTTTGTCCTAGAGTTAGGCCATGGTTAGGTGATCTATAATAAATATTTGACTTGGAAGAGATCATAGAAGGTTAAATGTAATGTTCATTTTGTTGAATTTGGTACAAACTAAACTTCACACGACGGCCAAGCTAGATGATCAATTCAAAACTGTTTAAA